AGTAATCAATTATATCGGTACAACAAAAGTCCTCAAATTAATAGATACATTCACCCTGCTCAAATACATCGGTACATACACAGCGTCAAATATATGAGTACATGCAAGGTGCCCATAAATATCGTAGTAGCCACAGCGTCATAAGTAACGAAGCAGTCAAGGTGTGCAAAAATATCGTTACATTTGACAAAATTGAACTCTATCTCTATACACTTGTAGTACAATTTTGAATAAACTACTTCTGTTAAATTCATTTGACACTTTGCATCAAACCATTTTTCAAAATTTACTACAAGTTTTCGTCCCGGGTGACAGATATTAGATAGATAAAACCAACATAAAATTTAAGCTTGTCATCAAATATGCTAGTTTAGTCTCGTGGCCTTACCGTTCCCCGCCGTTGTACGTAAGGTCGGCGGTTCAAACCCCAAGCCACTAATTTTTTTTTTATATTTAAGCATTTTAATATCGAAGCCTTACATGAAATTCTGAAATTGAAACACTATCGCCGCAGTTATTGGGTACTTTTTGAAATTGCCTTGGACTGGGGATTTCTTTCCTATTTTAAATCAAAATGAAGAAGATGAAGCGTTGGCCGTCCCTTTCATTTGAAAGATGATGTTTCTTTCAAATGAAAGGGACGGGTTTCATGTATTTTGTTTATTACTCATGTTTGTTATTACTGGTAAAAAATATCGCGTTGACCAGAGTGATTGTATCTATTAATTTGAGGACTTTTGTCGTACTTATATAATTGATTACTTTTGGGGTACCTATATATTTGCATATCGTGTCTGTTGCGGTATTTATGCAGCTGACTGTACGTGAATTTCCTTATATCAGTAATACCTACTTAAATACCGCTAAGACGAATTTACTGGAAAATGCTTCTATAGTGCGGGCTATACGGCTTCTCAATATCATATATATAGATTTATTTAGTTGCAGCGAGTCAAAATTCACAGAGGCTGCGTACAGATTTGTGGAAGACGTTTGAATATTGATGTTTAGTTACGCGTTTATATATCCTTGCACTGTTTATCTATGTATTTTTTTTGTTTTTTTTTTATTTGTCATTGTTATGTGTAATTACTATTTATTAATTAGTGTTATTATAAAATATGTTATCGTATAAACTGTTATGTAAAGTGTGTATAGTGTCAAATTGGTTGTATGTATATTGTAAGGATGCTATGCAGTTATTTTTGAAATAAATAAATAAATTAATTTAAGTTCTCGTAAACGAAAATTTAAACCATTTTAAACAACGGTGATATATCAATAAACATAGCAATAATAGTTAGTCAGTTGGTTAAAAAGTATATTTTTTAAAATATAAGTATAGGTCGAAATGTCATTTATTTCCTTATTATAATTTGTAGTTACGTACCATTGTGTGTGTGTATGTATGAAGAATAATCAAGTAATTGGGTCACTAGTGTTGGGGTCGGAAAGCACGCGCCGCACGCACCGCACGCACCGCACGCGCCGCGTCGCTGCTCGCACTCTATAATATGTTCACGACCCCATCATTGTTTCAGTGCAAATTATCTCTTGGCCTTGGATATTTAATAAGGCATTGTGTGTCTCTTACACAATTTTAAATACAAACATTGTTGTTGTTTTAACGTAAGTAGCAATTAATAATTGCGTAATTGGTACGAAGTGGCACCACCGGCAATAACATTAGCACGCGAAGACCTGCGAGCAGTGACGCGCGGCTCGGCCTGACAACGTGACATTACCCTGTGCTGTATTGTACTGCACCTTGCCACACCTGGTTGCTCCAGGCGAATGCTGGGTCTTGTGCAGCTGGCCACTTTATAACAAATATGAAAAGCACAAGCTTTCAAATAAGTTGAGAGAACATCTAAATAGTCACCTCTCACAAAGCGGCATTACTTATCTAAAACTATTCCAGGGAAAATATTTTAACATTTTGTTTTCCTTAAAAGGATAAAAACATGATTATTCAACTATAACTTATTACTGATATCATATTGCGTTGGTTGGTTGGTTGCGATCTGGTTAAAACAGTTCAGTAATAAGTGGAGTATTTTATTATAATACATAGGTCTCGACTAGTTAATTGTGAACATTTCGACTAAATTACAAAAACTTTTGGTCATTCTGTTTTGTTGAAGAATATGAGGGAGGGAGGGAGGGGGTTTGAGGATGGACTCGGCGAGGCGACCGAAAGGGCAACTTTATTTTATTACATAATGACGACAGCGATGAGTCATCATCATCATCATCATTGCTGGCCCCGCGATCATCGCTACATCATCATCATCTTTGCCGTAACTAATTGGAGAAACGTTGATTTGCATCCAAAAAATTAATAATAACTAAAGAAGTATGTTCATATTGTGGTAAACGGTTTCCACTATTTTAAATGAAAGTGCAATCGCTGTTTGATGTACTCAAGTAGTTCAGCTCTGTCGCATCCTCTCCTGTCTGCCGAAACGTGCGGGGTCAGCCCCGCGCTGTCAGGATATCGGCAACTATCATAAGACGACTTCTGCGACTGCTTACTCCCATCGTGGTGGAAATTTACACATATTTATGAATGCGCGATGACGTAAATAAATGCTAATCATTTACATTTGCATAAATAACCGAACAGCGTTACATCACAAGGTCGCCGCGTCCACCGATAACTAACTACGTTTTATCTTTTCATTAGATTTACTGCGCCGCATAATAAGCAGCGAACTTCGTCTTTCCTGTCATCGTCAATTCGTGATGGCGGAGGCGGAGGTGATGGTCGCTTCTGTCACTTAATTATTTCTCATTTTATTTTTGTTTTGTGTTTAATGTACATAAATGTTTTTTTAGTTACTTTTTTAGATGTAAAGTCTTTTATGGTTACTAAAATATTGTTGGAAAAAGTAAACATGCAGGCTTACTTATGTGGATCACTATGCTATTATTATCCCCACCACATCCACATATTATCTTTCAAAAAATTTATTGGCTAATTAAGAGCAATATAACACTTATGTCTTATTTGGACCACATTCTTATTTAAAGGTATACTAGATGCAGGACGCAACTCCGTCTGCGCAAAATTAAAAAAAAACATAATAAGTAGCCTATGTGTTCTTCCAGACTATGTTCTTTATGCATGCCACATTTCATAGAGATCCGTTCAGCAGTTCTGGAGATAACTTGAAACAAACATTATCCCTGTTACCGTATTATTCCGAAAATCCTTGTCCATGTGTATACTGTCCCATCAATATGGCAATGTGCGTACGTTACGTTGCGCCTATTTATAAGAAAGGTTCGAGAACTGATGTGAACAATTATAGACCAGTCTCTAAATTGTGTATACTTGCTAAAGTGCTGGAAAAGGTTAATTACAATCAGCTATACGCGGCCATGAAACACTCATTTAGTAACGTCCAGCACGGGTTTCTTCGAGGTCGGTCGACCACCTCCAATCTCGTTATGCTTAACGACTTCATAACTGATGCGATGGACAAAGGGGATGTCGTTTACACAGATTATAGCAAATGCTTCGATCGAATTGACTATGGGGTGTTGCTGTACAAGCTACACCTGATGGGCATACGGGGAGACCTCCTTAGATGGTTTTCCTCGTACATATCCAATGGATCGCAGGCCGTTGTCATAAATAACTATATATCTAGTTGGATACCATTGCCTAGCGGAATAGCGCAGGGCTCCTTGCTCGAGCTTCTGTTGTTCCTTATCCTTATAAACGACATAGATAAGTGTTTCCATCATTCACAGGTACTATGCTTTGCAGACGATATCAAGATATTTACTTTTTCTTTGGGTGTTATCCACCACCACAAATAATTGTTTGATAACCATATTGAGACCATTATGTCTAAAGTATATAAGGCACTTAGATTAGTAATGCGTGCGTCACAGAGCTTCAAGGAAGCGAAAACCTATACGCAGCATACTCGAGTACGCCAGTCAAGTGTGTAGGTAGGAGTATGCGGTTAATTTCATATTCACCCTCTTGTTGTTCGACGCGAAGTTGCAGACATAATCTTATTAGTATTGACTGTCCCTCTCTTCTCTCTAAAATATCAATTAATGTACCAAAGAAATCAGCACGCCATCACACTCCTATTCATCTTCCTATGGCATCTTCTAACTATCGACAAAGTTCATTTATTTTGCGAGCTGGCTTCTTTGTTAATAATCACTCTAAATGTTCCACTTTAGGTGTATTTAAATTACAAGTAATGCTATAAAGCAGGCTTTTTATGGGAATTTTTTCACTAAAAACAAAGTAATAAACTTAAAAACAAACATAATTAAACTAAATTCAAGTTTTTACTTTTCTTTTTTGTAATCTTATAATTCTTTTTTGTGCTTTTTAACTTTTTGTTTAAAATTATTTGTTCGCGCAAAAACATTTGTGTAAAATTCCACTATCGGCGAGGACCTATAATTGTTTCACTAACTAACTATTGTTTTACTTAATTTGTAAAAATGACTGTTGGTCTTCCAATAGATAAATAAACATACATCCATCTAAACTTTTGCATTATTGCATAATATTAGTAAGAAGTAAGATAAGCTTATCGTATCAAAAGTTTTATTTACAGCATTCTCACATTCCGCTACCCAGGAGCGCTATATTACATTAAAAAATCAATAAGAGATAGGTATGTTTATTTAGATCCTAAGCTTTATCATAGTTTAATTATTTAAGGGTTATCATCAACATTTTCTGTTCCATTTTTAGTACGGTTTAATAAAAAATACATTTTTAAATCACTAATTAATAATATATTAAGAACAATAAAACAAAGTATATCTTACTTCTTACTAATTTTATAAACTAGTTGTCACCCGCGGCTCGGTCCGCGCGCAGTTTACAAAAGAAGAACTTAATAAGTAGCCTATGTGTCCTTCTTCGAGATACCTTACACCAAACATCCATACATCCAAACATTCACATCTTACTTACTAATATTATAAATGCGAATATTTTGATGGATGGATGTTTGTTTGAAGGTATCCCCGGAACGGCTTAACAGATCTCGCTGATTAGGTTTTTATATTGTTCAGTGGAACTGACCAGTGGATCAGTTTGATAAATATTCATTTATTATTCTAGTCGGTCTATAAAAAAAGGCAATTTTATGAAATGGACGACTGCCATGGGAACAACTTGCACGGTCATTCGTACACCGATAGATCATAGACAAATGACCTAAAAGAAGAGATATGCAACTTGACAGCAGAAAAATTTATGGGCAACATGGTATGACCAGTTGGCTAGTGGCTACGAGCGGCGGAGTGACGTTGTGACGGTGACGAGTGACGACACGGCGCCGGCACGACTGCGCAGCGTGCACGCGCGGCCGCCATTGGCCCGTCCGGCACGTGGCCTGATCTCGTACCATGGCAACGAATGCCCCCGCGCCCCCGCGCCTCCGCGCCCCTACTGCGCTCTGCCGCTCGATTCGCACGGCGGTCGCTCTCGCTCCCGCCGCTGTCGTCGCGTGTCGCGTCGCGCCGCGTAGCAGTCAGTCTCGCGCCGGCCGCCCGCTGCCCGTGCCGTCTGTAACGTTATAGTAATCGAAGCTAACGCCGGTCGATAGTCCGGCGCGCCGCCCCGTGCAACATATCGGGCTTCCCGGTACCGCGAGCCGCAAGTGTGAGGTGCATCTGATGAATAGGGCGCGGGTCGCTTTGCACGAAGACGATTCACAAACAAAAACCGGATTATTAATACCTCGCGATAGTCTCCGTTAACATTTATGTAAGTACGCGAATATGCATGTTAAGAATGTGCAATTATCTTATTTACTCATCAATAGTGTGATTGTTACAACAAAAAAAACTTGGCGACCGGATGGTGAGTCATACTGGTGTTTCAGCACAGCAGCCCGTCCGTATACGGAACAACATTTTCCTAATGTAATAATGTTATGACAAAGATTTAACTTTTTAAGAAAATAATAGAAAAAGGGACAAGAAAAATGTGATATTTTCAGTATACCTTAAACTTCCCCCTTAAGAGCCCCTTATAGTACGGTGAAAACTAAAACCAAATTTTTATATTGCTGATTTTATAATCTTACTAGTAATATAAATGTGAATGTTTACAATCTTATTATGGAAAGCTGGTATTTACAAGCATAGTAAGAATTTTAAAATTGTTTTTAATTAGTCACGAAAAATATTGGCAGACGGGCTTGATTCCCACTACAACCGACACCGTCAAGGGTTGACTTGATGACTACGTCAACGTGGAATTAATAACAATAGCCCAAGTTATACTCCCGAAAACATCAGCTACCTACCTTCTAGTCAGAAGTCCAAGTCCCGCCAAAATCGGTCCTGCCGTTTCAGGAAATTACGCGGAACCCACGCAGACTGACGGACAGACAGCTAGGCAGCCAAAAATTTCTAAAATTGGTTTTTCGTGAAAAAAAATGACTATAATTGTACAGACAGATGCAAAAACGTGACCGAAAATGTTATTTGCAAGTCTCTCTTTGATTTTTAACAAAAGTTTGTTCGACATAAATGTGGTTCGTCAAACCAAAACCATCTTTTCAAATGGCTGTTAGTAGAAATGTATGAAACCTAGGTATAATTCCTAGGACAAGTGAAGAATTCCAAAGCTGTTTAGGAAAGGTATGATATATTATTGTTTTAAAGATTATTTACTTTTCACATATCCTGGGAAATGTATACTTTTCCTAGGAATTATTGTGATTTCGCGTTAAGTATGAAAAAATGTAATATATTTCGTGAATAAAATAATTAAAACACATTTTTAAACAAGTTATCTGAGAATAAAATATATGAAAAAAGTTTTTGTACACGTAACACAGATTTTTATAATAAATTACAAAGTTTATATATTTATATATATTATATTTAAAGTGTACAATTCGCTATCTCCGCATATACATTGATATCTAGTATGTGTTATAGATTTCCTAGGAAATGTGTGGAGTATCATTTATTTAACACATTTTCGGCGATTTTAGAAATTATTGATAACGATTTAACAGATTTCCGTTAACTGAATAAAACATTTACGATATTATTCCACTTTGTCTCACATTTTAACTAAATTACTAGAAGAAAGCAAGGACCATTCCATATTCTTAGTTATTCTAAAGAAAATATCGTATAGTATATAGTTTACTCTCATCGTGGCCTTGTATAGAATTTGACGCGTCTCTGTTTACTTTATTCATGCATTCCATCAACACCAACGGTGTGCAGCTTTAGATAGAATTAAGTACGTTTAAAAAGTTACTTATTTTCGATCGAGGAATTTTGTTCTTCTTGTTGTTGTGTTGATCTTTTACCATCTTACATTTACAATTTATACTGTGGTCAGTGAACTAACTATTGTGTTGATAGAGTATTGTGATCTCATTGAAAGAAATCACTTTCCTTTTGACCATTGTCGTCATGAGCTGAAGTAGGTAATGCGAGGGGACGGCCTCGCGCCGCGTGCCGCGCGCTCCGCACTCCAAGCGGATGGTCGGACCGCGGTCACGGCCGGTTCCCAGCCAATATAAAAAAACAAAAAATTTACTATATACGTTTTTTTTTTCAAAAATGCCGTATCAAACGGGGTTTTGAAAATGTTCAATAATTGTATTATTTTCTTATCTAACATTAAAAAGAAGTACAATGGTAAGAAAGCCTATTTATTAGGCTTGTTCAAGAAAAAGTACTCTGAAATTTGGTCGCACGCATAAAATTTTAGTCGAAAATCTGATTTATAATTTTTTTTTACAAAAAATAAAATAAATTGAGAGGTTTTTTATGTCATAAGTTGGCAAATGAGCGAGGGGTTACCTGAAATCGCCGAAATAGCGAAGTGACCGTTGCCCATAGACATTCGCAAATCTATCTTTAATCGACGGAGGAGAGGATGCACAGAAAGAAAATGTTTTCCCTTCCCATACATCCTCTCATCCGGAAAGTCCACTTCCACTTCCCATTCTTTCCTTATAAGAAAAAGGGTGTGAAGGGAAAGAGGACTAAATTAGGCCTCCGGGACGCACGCTCATCAGACGAAACTTGGAATTGCTTCCACTTCACGCCTGTCTTCTGTGTGTTCGTGGTATTTCCCGGAGCGCGCCGGGCCAATTCTTGTGAAGATGTTAAAGCGTGGTAGAGCCCGCTGTTAAGAGGTGCAGAGAATCGTGCAACATATATTGGGTTCAAACAGCTATTAAGGTCTTCTATGTTCTCTAAGCTTATTATCCAGTGGCAGACGCACAGACCTAGCCACCGCACCTAAAAGCTTGTAATTTTGCGTAGATGTTTCTCTAACTACATAGTCAAGGTCTATCTCCTCAAGGTCTGAAGAGGTTCATCATTATACATGTTAAGATAGAATAGTTCGCTTTCCAAATAGGGTGGGTGTCCATGGAGAATTTCACGTTTCATATATAATGGGGTACCGAACATCCGAAATTAATTTCGCTTAAATTGGCTGCGATATAAGCGGTGCTTACTACAATTTATAATACCACATCCAATACAATACCATATCCAAATCGGTTGATCCGTTAATAAACAGTATTCTGGTTCAAGGTCAGTGGCGTGTGTGTGTACGCGGCGCCGGAGCAAGTTCATCGTGACGTTGTTGCGTTCGCTGACACCACAGCATCGCTGATGCAAACGAAAACTGGAATTTGTGCCTCTTCTGGTTTCACCGCGCGCGTTCATTCATGGCACCTGATCATGTCAAGTTGAGGAATTGCGTTAGCGCAAGTCGTTGTAGTTATTGGTCGAATGGCCGACTGCTGATAGCGCTACTTATTCTCATAAGACCATTAGCTGTGCCAGCGCAGCGACTTTGTCGCCGTGGAATCCAATATCAAACTTATTTTTAATATTATGATATTATTTATGTAACCTATACAATTATCCATTTTACCATTTCAAAATACATAATGTATATTGTTATTGACCACCACAGACTAAATATTTGTATTGGCGCACAGATGCGCCTGATTGTGCCGAGTGCCTAGAACTATTCAGTGCAAAATTTAGTTATATATAATATTAAGTTAGCTATCATATAATATATTGGAGATAACAACATTGTGGCTAATATGTACATATATTACTTGATGACATGACTGTGCTTCACAGGACCATGTTAATTGTGAAACATATAGCTGTAGCTATATAAAACATATCGTTATAACTCTCATTATCTTTGAAAAACAACGAAAACAGTATTATTTTATAAGAGATTATGGAATCAGAAACTAACGATTTAAAATGTATATACCGTTGACACACAACAACGCCTACGTACAAACAGATATATTTATACAATCTAGTTGGAGTATTGGAGGATCACTTTTATGCACAGAAACCTAAACGTGAGGCGTGTAAATTTCCCCGATATTATCATTACATTTACCCACCACCAACTTAATGGATTTCAATTTGTTAAGATTAATTAAATAATCAAATAACAATGTTTTAAAAAAATATATGGAAAAGCTAGCTGACGCGTCGGTGTCCGGTGTCGGCGCTCGGCGCTCGGCGCAGCCAGCTTCCAGTCCATCAGGGCTCTTTAGAGTGAGGGGGACTGGTGTTATTGGTGCTCACGAAATTTAAACAATTAATACTCAACATTTTAACAAATGTTTAAGTATATTTTACCTTTAAGTTTTGTACTACCGCGCCCCGGGGGGGACGCGGTAGTTATGTGCGATTCTCCTCCATAGCGGAGGCATACCCACTAAACCCCTCTGTTCCTCCAACGCATCGGGACGGGATCACGGGCACGCTCTCGCTCTCGTCCGCGGCAAGTTTTGTACACTACATTTCTCCAATTTGGCATTTTTTCAATAATGTATACATAACGTGACTATTTATTTTTTGATTCAACACGGGACATTGTTTTTTTTTAGGTAATTAACATATAGTCAATGCGTAAGCTTAAGTTAAGAAATAAAGAAATACATATATGCGAAACGTTTAGTATCAGAGGCTTTGCTTTAAGCTGAGTACCTATGAATAATAACTGGTGATGATTTTTAATAAATTTGAAACTATTGGCACTTTTTTTTTTTTTAAATTCGCCTTAAAAATTGAAATTTGAACTGGGTTTTCTCAGATGGGTTGACCGACGACGTGATCTCGACTTCACACTCAACTCGCGTCGACCAACTCAACTGCTTACATTTTCACGCAGTTAAAAAAAACTGGCCAAGTGCGAGTCCAGACTCGCGCCATGAGGGTTCCGTATAAACCTGTAGGTATAAGTAAAAGTTCATCTATCAAGACAATCGAGTCATAGTTAAAAATTGTAATAAATTTATAACTTTTAAAAATTATATATGATGTAACTAAAAATTAACGGTAACTTATTGCCAATTTTCAAGATTCTAAGTTCACGGGAGGAACCCTGTAGGTTGTGATTCCCTTGCGAGTGTCGAAAAATTTGTGACATAAATGACTGTATCTTTTGATTACATTGGCTTAAAAGTTTTGATTCACAGCACCAAGCGACAGCAGACCTGAGTATTTGATATAAAGTCCAGCTTGATACCTTTACGCGTCCCTGAAAAAAGGGTCTGGATAGTCAGACGGGCGAACAACAAGGTGATTTTATAAGGGTTCTGTTTTTTTTTTTTCATTTCGAGGTACGGAACACTGAAAACCCGGCATTCTTATCGGGGACACCGGGACTCGTAATAATAATATAAGCGGGACGTCTAGTCGCGTTATGTATACAGGAACATTTGCCTCATGTACACTACCAATAATATTTCGACACTGGTCGTACGATTTAACTTCAATCTTAAAAGAAACACTCCGTCCGTAGCTTTCTAAGCTATCTATGCGCTTACGTATAAAAAACAAAAAGTACGTTAAAAATGTTTTGCATGTTTTAGGTAGCGATGGGTAAGTAGCTTATCTCGGTCAATGCTTAGTCTTTCGAACATACTGTGTCATCTCCCCTAATAATGTAACTAAAGCGCGCCAAATGTTTAAAGTATGACATTGATGATAGATGATGCCGAAGGGACAGTAAGAAGGGTATGGCCGCGCGTCGGCAGGTGGAGCCACGTGCCCTGTCGGCAGCGGCGGCGCGTGATTTGCACTCGCGCGCGTGTGATGTGAGTAGCGCAACGGCGGGTCAGGGGGCGCTCGGCGATAGTGCGCGCGGTCGAAGCGGTCGTGACGAGGTGCGCCCCCGCCCGCCGCCCGCCGCCCCGAGGTAGCCCGCCGACCTTGCGCGTCCTTGCGCCACGATAAGGCGGACTCGGGGTCTCGTGGAAACTCGGCGCGAGGTCGGGACCCCGCTATCGCGCCCTTTTAACCGGCCGCCGGCGAGGAGCAGCTTCACTCTCCGCCTGTGCCCACTCGCGATCACCTCGCACGCGCTCTTGTTCACTTCGCTTCCTGTTAACTACCGACGCGAGGCGCAGGTGTGTGGTGCGAACCGTGTCCGCCGGTGACTTCGGCTGCCCAACTCTGACCGATGTGTGTCGTGTTGCAGATAGTGCGTGTGGCTGCAACATGCCCAGCGCGATGGTGAACGGCGCGCAGGCGTCGCCCGACGACGTTGTTCTGACAGGCCTGTCGGGTCGCCTGCCCGAGTCCGACAATGTGGATGAGTTCGCGCGCCACCTGTTAGCCGGCGTCGACCTTGTGACCGCCGACGACCGGCGCTGGACACCAGGTGAGTCTTCATCGTTTCCTACTACTTTCTATCTTGCGATCAATATAAGATACGAAGGTTTGCAGTTGCTCATTTGGTATCGCGGCTCCCAAGAAATATACATAGTGTGTATAGTTGTCTTCATTAACGGTGCTTCATTTACAAAAGATTTGTCTTGCATCTCATCTCGCAAATGGCTCAAACCCGGGTTATTGATGTTTTCAGCACCCCTGAATATTGTATGTCGTGTAAAATACGCTCTTTTCACATTTAGACATTCAAGTGATTGTCCCTCTTATGCCTGGTTTCTGAAGTATTTTCATGTGTTAATGATTTGATAGTGTTATTTATGTTATAGATAAGATTAACTTTACTTGTGTTTCTGAGTATCAAAGAACCGTTCGATAGTTTTGGAGCAGGTTAGTACTCCGATGACGCCATAGTAAAAATGCATTTGAAGTTGATTTTATCACTCTATTTATAAACTTTAATTTATACATGGTGCTATAGTTACAGAAAAATATAAGGGTTGTCCGGGAATGAAGTGTAAATTACGATTTAACCCAACTTACCTCTATCTAAAGTTGCCTCGTTTAGCTGCTAGAAAGCTTTAAATTTTGCAAATTATTTTACATTTATTCAAATGTAACAAAAACTATAGATAGATTTTTTCATGTTAAAAAAAACACGGTTTTTGTTGCATAAGCTACACCTTTTTGTAAAACAGTCGTTTGTCATAAAACCTACAGGGGGCTGGACAACACGAATATCCAAACAAAAATCAATCATATTTTTGCTAATTTCATTTACATGATTTTTATTCTCTTTTAAAAATTTGATTCGCCCAGCGGTTTTACCACAAAATAAAATTTACGAAGTACCTACATAGTACGCTAAACTTTAGTTCTACGAGATAACGTTACTAGAAATTTTATCAAAATTTACTATACGCTAAGTAACTTATTGTTCATGTAAAAGAATTAAACGCATAAGATTTTAGAAAAACGCATTTGTGACAGAACCGCTGGCGAAATCAAAATATGATTGATGTTTATTTCCGGTATTCGCGTTCGCGAGCATCCTGTAGGTTTTACGACAAAGGTTTGTTTAAAAAAGGTGTAGTTCATGCAACAAAGACCGTGTTTTTATATGAATAAAATATATATAATACTTTTTAATATATTTTAATAGATATAAAATAATTTGCAAAATTTGAAGCCCTCTAGCGGTTAAAGGAAACAACTTTGAATAAGGTAAGTTGGCTTAAATCGTCTATCTTCTAAATCTGTGCCATTATCAATCGACCAAGTTGCGGAGTAACTTTTAATTGTCATTTCCTGGCTCAAAAGTCAAACATATTCGACATTTTTGCTGCTCTTGAATTTTAAATACTTTATAATAATGAAGTTCGCATTGTCATTTTAACAATAATAGTCACGTTTTAACGCATTTTGTAATAAAACATGTAAAAAGTAATAAAATGCTAATAGTACTTATTTACATAAACTGAAAAGAAATATAATATGTATATATCTTACAATTATTGTGTATCTATTTAAGATAATTCGTTTGTATAGAACCAGACAATAATTTCTGTTGTCGCGACTCAGTTCCATACATTTTCATTTTCGCTATGGAATCGTTTCGAAGCAAATGCATTTTGTCTAGACTGCCAGTGCTACATTAGGAAAATTGGTCAGTTAAAATATATAACGATTCAACGGAGGATTACACAAAGATACATTTACTATTATTATTATCAGCTAATTAAAATGAAAGAACATATAAGTTGTAGTTTTGTACGTTACCAGCATTATATTATACATACCAAAGCGTATCGAAAGATTTACTTAGCAGTTTGCTTTAAAATAGAATAAAGATTCCATAAAGCTATCAATGAAGTCAAACAAATTAATGTACTTTATTGCTGGCGGCTCAGTAGCGGTTGCCGCGGCAACTTTGCACGGATTGCTCTCCGCTCGCAAACTCAAAGGAATTTTCGAGCAGCAAGCGCTTAGCTCGCGCCCGCGAATAGCTCGTAAGTTGCTCGTTCGCCAGATGTGACACACCCGAATTTTCCTGATTCCTGGCGCAGTGCAGGGTTGCGCAACGACATGCGATACCTAAACCAGTGGTCGGCATTTATCTTGATGATTTTCCTGCGCGTACATTATGTTGTTTACAAGATGTATGCGACCTTCGTCTTTGGATTTGTTTATTATTTTCCTGTTTGTCCCGGCCGCCGTCGACCTCATAATGTGCAGTATAGTACCGACCTACTACAGGGGCGGGGTGAACACTTCTCCGTCTATAAAAGACTACGATTTTCACTAATCGTTGTATAATTCTCCAAAATTATATTTTATTTCATTTCCTATCTTATTTTTTAAGTGTAAATTCAATGATGTCTGCTATAATACTTCTTCAGCGTAGAATTAAAAAATGTAAAGTATAACCAGAAATATAATTTCCTGCTCCGATCCGATTCAATCGCCTTCCTTATTACATTACCTTTTAATTTACTCAAAGAAATGATTCCCGTATTTTTCCGCGATATGGCTAAGCTTTTTATATTTATTTTTATAATATTCAGATAATTATATAATAAATTTATGAACTGTATAGATCATAATATGAATGTATTATATTATTATTTGTATACTAGCTAGCTAGGTCCATGACCTGTCGTCAGTCCTCTGCAATTCATTACGCAATATTACTTCAGTTTGCTAGTAGCAGGCAAGATAGATAGTGTCAGCCACGTGGTCAGCAGCATTGTGTGGTGACGTCATCGTGATCGCCACGCCCGCCATTAGAGCCATGAGACGACAACATGTGTCCAACAAACAGGTAAACCGCGGAGCGGATCTGCGCGATAGCTGCCGATGCTGGGTGCTGACTGAGTACATAGCCTGTTTCAAATACATAGGCTAACTACTACGGGCCCCGGACGCCATCGAGCCGCCCCGCCGGTTACATAAACGGGGCCTGCGCATTGCCTGCCTTTACTGCCACCGCACGAGTGTCGTAAAGATCGCGCCGGTCTCACGACAATACGTCTTATATGTATATAAATGTTACATAATACACTTTTATTTTATCAAATATACTGAAAAATATATTTAATGATGTAAAAATTTTATGTGTCTCCGTTTACTATAGTGTTTCGTCCGAGCCAATTAGATCTAGTGTTAGCATTAACAGTATCACATGTATCACATAAATATATATTACCGCTACATTGAACGTTTCATCGCAACTCTGTAAATATGCTAAAGCGAATACTTAAGATATATAGATATACAATATATTGTCATTTCAAAATAAAACTAGCAGCTAGTCAATGCTAGCGAGGTGTTGAAAAACAAAATCATACGATAGACAACACATTTACAAATAAAATAAAATATTAATGCTGCTTGGAAATCGTGAATTGAATCTTTACGGAACGACACTATGATATCAATTAGCGCGTTTGATGAGTTTTCATTACAAGGATGTAAGCAAGGACAATAAAACTTTTTTACGCCTTTGTATTTTGGTATGATCGGGCCTTGACTATTCAACACACACTTAAGTTAGAGAGAAAGGTATAAATTGTAAACCATAAACAAAAACGGGAGCCGCGTACCGCGCGGTGCGACACATCCCGTACTTATCCAGTACCATATCGTGAATTGTGCTTACAGGGCTGCACGGGCTGCCAGAGCGCAACGGCAAACTGAAAGACCTGGTGCACTTCGACGCGACATTCTTCGGCGTGCACGCGAAGCAGGCGCACCTGATGGACCCACAGCTGCGGCTGCTGCTCGAGCTGACCCACGAGGCCATCGTGGACGCCGGACTCAGTCCCGCAGAGCTGCGCGGCTCGCGCACTGGCGTCTACGTCGGCGTCTCCAACTCCGAGACGGAGGAGATGTGGACCGCCGATCCGGACAAGATCAACGGTTACGCGCTGACGGGCTGCTGCCGCGCCATGTTCCCCAACCGCATCTCGTATACGTTCGACCTGAAGGGCCCCTCATACGCCGTCGACACGGCCTGCTCGAGCTCCATGTTCGCGCTCGCGCAGGCCGCGGCCGCAATGCGCGACGGCCAGTGCGACGCCGCAATCGTTGCCGGCACCAACCTTTGCCTCAAGCCCGCCAACTCCCTCAACTTCCACCGGTTGAGCATGTTGTCGCCGGAGGGACGATGCGCGGCGTTCGACGCCGGCGGGCGCGGCTACGTGCGCTCCGAAGCCGCCGTGGTGGTGCTGCTGCAGCGCCGCGGCAGCGCGCGCCGCCTCTATGCCACCGTGCGCGGCGCACGCATGAACACCGACGGCAGCAAGGTGCAGGGCATTACCTTCCCCTCGGGAGACGTGCAGCGCCGCCTTGCTGAGGAGACCTTCGCGGATGCGGGCCTCCGGCCGCAGGACGTTGTCTACGTGGAAGCGCACGGCACCGGCACCAAGGTATGCGTCGTCGGCAGATCGCCCGCTCGGTTCGAGTGACACGAACGACACGAATGGTGGGATGACGCTGTTGCGGTTGCAGGTGGGCGACCCGCAGGAGGTGAACGCCATCGCTGAGTTCTTCTGCAAGGAGCGGACGACGCCGCTGCTGCTGGGCTCGGTCAAGTCCAACATGGGCCACTCGGAGCCGGCCTCCGGCTTGTGCTCGATCGCTAAAGTCATCATCGCCATGGAGGAGGGCGTCATCCCGGCTAACTTGCACTACAAGACACCGAACCCAGATATTCCTGCCCTAAGTGATGGACGTATACAGGTATTTAGTTTTTTAACAGCAAGCTGCTTTACGCAAAAGTAAAGCTGACTCCATAAAGAACAATATTCTCACAGTAAATAGCCATTCGTAAACAAAATGCACTAAAAAGTTACAAAATAATGTCTTGAATACCCTCGAAGGTAAGAAAATTCTCTTTTTTCTTGTTATATATCTATTTTGTAGTTCGGAGTCGGTGTGTTTATATATAATACATATACTTAGCTTTAGTAATAATGAAATATATACACAGACCATCCAGAACATAAATGAGTAAATGATGGACACCACATTTTAATCCGTTTCCTGTCTAAGTAGAATGCAGAAGCCAACAGAGGTTATGAAAAGGTATTTTTATAAGTAAAGTAAAAGTCTGCATGCAGTTATAATATAATATATTTGACTTATGATTTGCCGTAACCATCCATATCGGTTAATTTTTGTTCGAGTTCTCAAATTGTTTAATTTCCTCTTTACCCTACTTCACCCATGGGAACATTTGTTTACAGGTGGTCGACAAAAACACGCCGTGGGATGGCGGACTTGTGGCGGTCAATTCTTTCGGATTCGGCGGAGCCAACGCACACATTATCTTAGAGTCGCAGCGGGGTGCGCGCTCCCCGGCGCACGCCGCCGCCCAGCCCGCCGCCCAGCCCGCCGCCCAGCCCGCCGGCCTGCCGCGGCTGGTGGTGGCGTCGGGCCGCACGGAGGCCGCTGTACGCCGCCTGCTGCAGCTCGCGGGCGAGCACGCGCACGACGCGCATCTGCTCGCCATGCTCGATGCCGTGCACGCGCACAACATCTCGGGCCATGCCTTCCGCGGCTACCGGCTACTCGGCGAGCCGTCGCCGCAGGCCCCGCCCGTCGAGGAGGTCCAGGAGGCCGAGAGCTCGGAGCCGCGGCCGCTGTGGTTCGTGTTCTCCGGCATGGGGTCGCAGTGGGCGGGCATGGCGCGCACGCTGCTGCGCCTGCCGTCGTTCGCCCGCAGCGTGGCGCGCTGTGCGGCGGCGCTGCGCCCGCACGGCGTCGACCTGACGCACGTTCTCACAGACGCGCCCGACTCCGCCTTCGAGGACGTGGTGACGTCGTTCGTGTCTATCGCCGCCGTGCAGGTGGCGCTGGTGGACGTGCTGCGCGAACTCGGCCTAAGGCCGGAGGGAATCGTCGGTCACTCCGTCGGAGAAATCGGTCAGTGCGGAACTTTCGAATCTCAATTTAGAAAATTCAATGTACAGTTTCGGTCTTTCCTTTGAATTACAGATTTTTTTTCTTAATGGACTTGTATATCGCCCCGAATATAAAAGTGTCGGATGAAACACGCAATGGCAGTAGTTATTAGGTGGAGGTCGGTTGTGCGCGGACGACACGTTGAGTCAGCTCGTGTGCAGGTTGCGCGTACGCGGACGACACACTGACGGCGGAGCAGGCGGTGCTGGCGGCGTACTGGCGCGGGCGCAGCATCGTGGACGCGCGCCTGCCGCCCGGCGCCATGGCGGCCGTCGGCCTCTCCTGGGAGGAGGCGAGCGCGCGCTGCCCGCCCGACATCGCGCCCGCCTGCCACAACGCCGCCGACAGCGTCACGGTGCGTGCAGAATCTAAAGGGGAATTGATACATTGCCGAGCTGGGCATGTGGTGATACCCGGTGCGTGTGCGTGTGCGTGTGCGCAGGTGTCGGGCCCGGCAGACTCCATCGAGCGGTTCGTGGGGCAGCTGGCGGCGGAGGGCGTGTTCGCGCGCCGAGTCAACAGCTCGGGCGTGGCGTTCCACAGCCGCTACATCGCCGCCGCCGCGCCGCTGCTGCGCCGCAGCCTCGAGCGCGTCATCCCCGAGCCCAAGCCGCGCTCTCGTCGCTGGCTCTCCTCTTCGCTACCTAAGGATCAGTGGGACTCGGACATTGGTACCTTTTTATATACAATCGAGAGTATATTAAAAACATTTACTAGTTTACTCTTTTCCTGTCGTCAACTTGTCGATCGCGATGAGCCCGTAATGGCCTCCAGTACATATATCACAACCATTGAAATTTTACTATACATTGTGGCTGAAAAATAGAGTCGATTCTGTGTGTCATGCGTGTGTTGTGGCGAACGAGCGAGCGCCCACCTGAAATAGCGATTGCATATGCGTTGCCTACCTTTAATCGACGGAGGAAGGGATGCACAGAAAGAAAATATTTTCCCTTCCCATGCATCCTCTCATCCGGAAAGTCTTCTTCGCTTCACATCCTTTCCTTATATGAAAAAGGGTGGGAAGGGTAAGATGACTAGAATTAGGCCTCCGGGACGCACACTTATCAGACGAAGAGACGAAGATGTGAAAGCGGGCTCTACCACTGTTAAATTGTCTGTGCGGGCAGCGCGGCTGAGCGACGCGGCGTACCACGTCAACAACCTGCTGTCGCCGGTGCGGTTCGCGGAGGCGCTGCGCGAGGTGCCGGAGCGCGCGCTGCTGGTGGAGGTGGCGCCGCACGCGCTGCTGCAGGCCGTGCTGCGCCGCGCCCGCCCGCTCGCCGCACACGTGCCGCTGCTGCGCCGCGACGCGCCCGACCTGGCCGCGCATCTGCTGGCCGCCACCGGGCGCGCCTACTGCGCCGGCGCCCAGCCCCGCGTGGCCGCCTTCTACCCGCCCGTGGCTTGGCCCGCGCCGCGCGGTACGCCCCGCCTCGCCTCGCACGTGCTCTGGGACCATTCCTCCGAGTGGAGCGTCGCCAACTTCGGCGCCTCCTCGCGCTCCGGCGAGAACGTCATCGAGTACGACCTCTCGCGCCCCGACGACGACTTCATCTCCGGACACAACATCGATGGCCGCATCTTGTTCCCCGCCACTGGCTACTTGGTGCGTTCTTGTATCAGTTAAATGCTTGTAAAAGATAGGTGAATCTTTCGCCTTTTTTTATTTTTTATTTTTGTCTATACAGACGCTCGTATGGAGGACGATGGCGAAAATTCACAACCGCAAATTAGAGGACACACCTATAATTCTTGAGAACGTCCAATTTAAACGAGCTACCATCATGTCGCGCGATGCGCCCGTGCGCTTCCTGGTGAACGTGCTGGACGGCAGCGGCGAGTTCGAGGTGTGCGAGGGCGGCGCCGTCGCGGCCTCGGGCCTGGTGCGGCTGGCCGAGCAGCCCGCCGCCGAGCGTCTGCCCGCGCCGCCCGTCCCTCCGGGCGCCGCCCCCGACCTCCTGCCGCTCGTCGCCGACGACATCTACAAGGAGCTGCGGCTGCGCGGCTACAGCTACGCCGGCGCCTTCCGCGGTATCCGCACCTCCGACCCGCTCGGCACCGCCGGATCGCTCGCCTGGGACGGCAACTGGATCACTTTCATGGACACGATGCTGCAGTTCGCGATCATCGGCGTGGACACGCGGGAGCTGTATCTGCCCACGCGGCTGCAGCGAGCGCTCATCGACCCGGCGGCGCAGTGCGCAGCGGCCGCGGCGGCCGAGGCTGCGGGAGCGCCGGGAGCGGTGCCCGTGCGCATGCTGCGCGACCTGGACGTCGTGCTCGCCGGCGGCGTGGAACTGCGCGGCGTCAAGACGAGCCTGGCGCCGCGGCGTGCCAACCCGCAGCCGGCGCCCAAGCTGGAGAAATATGTGTTCGTGCCGTACGACAAAACGGATGTGGTGGGTTGCGATGGAGGCGAGTCGGGCGCGCGCTCCAAGCGCGAAGCGCTCGCGGCCTGCCTGCAGCTGGTGTGGGAGAATGCGGGCGCGCTGCGACTGCGCGCTTGCGAGGCGGCTCTGGGGCGCGCGCCCGAGGCGCTGCTGCTGCCCACCGTGCTGGCGCTGCTGGACGCGGAGCCGCAGGTGCGCGTGGAGCCGGTGCTGGCCGCGGGGTCTGACGCACCGCTTTACGAGGCCGCCATGCAGAAGCTAGCCGTTAAAGTGAGTCATTCGATAAAACTGCGATTTCAGAATTTTATTTCTCTAAGAATTTCATAATTTACAATCATATTTCAAGAATTTCAATAATGACATTGTGTTTATATTACGGCTCTATTTAGTTTAAATCATTATATTCGGTAAAACTTGTAATCATATAAAAAGAGATTGTCATCATTCGTACTTTTTCTGGAAAAGCTGCCCACATCGGGTTCCGTATGGACGGTTCGGAAGTAAAAAGCAACTTTGAGGACAACAGAGAGGGTTATGTGACAGGTGAGCACCAAGGACGCACGCAGCGCAGCCCCCGAGGCCGAGTGTCACCTGGTGGCGGCG